ACAAACATTTATTAATTCAACACTCACATAAGGCAATTTCTAAGTTTTGTTTTAACTGCCTTGCTATGATATGAGACACAAGTGTTAAGCAGGGAGCCTAAAGGAACCAGAGCTATTTTGAAGGTTATACTCTGATTCAGAAACAATTAAAAATGCTGCATTTAAGAATGCTGTAAAAATAATTAATTTCACAAATGCAGCAATGAATCACAAAATCAAAGCTTCAACTCTCTTCTAGGTGCTCCTTCACTTAATTTCCAAGCATTCAAAAAATAACTCTATCATTCCTCCTTTTTTAAAGAAAGAGGACTAATTTAGGAGAAGCAGAAGAGTTTACTAAAACATTGCTTACGGACCCATTGTTCTTCTCACCTTTTGCCATGAATTCTGTTATAATATAAATAGGCTCTTCTTTGGTCACCACAGCATAAAGCCTTACGAGCTTATCATGCTGAAGTGTTTTCATGAGGTTGGCTTCCTCCAGGAAGGCTTGCACAGACATTGTTCCAGGCTTCAGAGTCTTCACAGCCACTTTCGTACTATTATGATAGTAACCTACAAGGAGAGAACACAATCAGTGCACGAAGTCAGTGCACCACACAACATCCCTTCTTTGGTCACCACAGCATAAAGCCTTACGAGCTTATCATGCTGAAGTGTTTTCATGAGGTTGGCTTCCTCCAGGAAGGCTTGCACAGACATTGTTCCAGGCTTCAGAGTCTTCACAGCCACTTTCGTACTATTATGATAGTAACCTACAAGGAGAGAACACAATCAGTGCACGAAGTCAGTGCACCACACAACATCCCATCCCATCCAGGAATACCTAGGAGCCTGAAAGCAAGTGCCAGATGTAGCACAAATATTTATGCTAGAATTCCTTTGCATTTTGCAACTGATACGACATTGCAGTGAAAAATGACCCATTCCCTATTTTTAGAAATCAGTTACCCAAACAAAAAAATAAAGAAAGCAAACGACCTTACTTCAGACCAAGTTTTCATTCACAAGTAGCCCATAAAACATTTGGTCAAGAAATGTTTCAATGAATGTCTGCTTAAACTGTACCAGAATCTAATAGTCCATGGATTGACTGCAAGATTCTGGAGTATCTTTAAATCCCAGGATTACAGCTATTTTATGCATACCAGTCTCATGCTTACAATCCTTGTAACCCACAGTGCTCAAAACAGAGCTTTACGGGAAAGTGCAATCAAAGGAGAAGTCTTGTGACCAACAAGGATATACTGCCAGGACTGCAATCCTGCAGCGTTCAGCTCAAGATCTAAAATGTGGCAACTTCTTATCACATAGCCCATGCCAGGAGCAGAGAAGACTGTGGCTGCTTCATTTCTTTCTTTATCAAACCTTCTGATGTAATATTCTAATTATATGAAAAGTAACTATAAGAGAAAAGCAGTGAATTATTTTCTGTTTTAATGTTTTCCTGACATTAAATAAATGTTAAAACAGCATTAAATAAATAGAGTAGCAAGCACTGATCCTGAAGTTTCTTGTGAAGTCATTTAATTTGAAAAACAAAAGAAAAAGAGAGAAAGAAAGAGATTGGTATATAAATGGAACTTTCGTTCCCCACTATATCCATTGCAACACTGCAGAAATATTTCTCAGAAGAGGTAAAACTTTCATGACTCAATGAAATAGCCTCACTTCCTTATTCAGCAGCAAACTAGACTGTCACCATGATGGATACACCTTTAAATTGGAATCCACCATTTCCTTACACTATTTATCATCCTACCAAAAGAAATCAGTGGCAAAGCAAGGATCCAGTTTCCAGATCTTAAGTGATTGCCCTAATCACTGCATCTTCTTTTCTGAAGAAGGATCATCAGCTGAGAAAAGCCACTATGCTTGCTGATCACAAAATATTCACCTGTGTGACTATTAAATCTACTTTTCCAAACTTGGTCAGGACAAAGCATAACAAATATATGTCTCTAAACTACCAAATAATAAGAAATTACAACTATAGATCAAATCTGCTGTTAAAGCTCAGGTATTTGATTTCTAGCTATCAGCACAACAGGTATTAAAAATATTTTTTCTGCTTAAAAAGCTGAAAGTTTATTTCTATCATTTCCACTATTCCATCCCATACCCTAAAAGACAGAATGAGTTCCACTCTCAATTTGTTGAATTCTCTGCTGAACATACCAACTAATATAATTATTTCTGTGAAGCAATTATGACCAACACACTGAACTATTTAAGAGTATTTTATATTCATTAAAGAGATCCAACAAACTAGGGTCCAACCTAGAGAAAGCTTGCTTTACTATAACACATCAATGATACTGAGGTTTTTGGCTGTAAAAATGTCTACCCTGACCCTCTGGCGGTAACACACAAAGCAAATAGCTGGTGTGAGTACAAGAGACAAATGAACTTGACCTCTCATGTTCATTTATTTCATCAGGTATTGGGAGGGATGGGACACCAAAACACTGAGGAAAGGTGATCATAAACTCTATCAGCACACACAACTGCATTTGAAAAAATGAACCCTTGACAGTTTGGTGAAACTTGAATTTGTCACCTCTCCTGCCCATATATTATCAGCAAAATCAGTGTTAGCTTGATTTGGGCTGTGACCTGGAGCAGGCAGAATCTTTTTAGTATGCGTCTGTACCATCCCAGCTTAAAGTCCTAGTCCTCATGCCAGGTGATCTGTCATTACTGTAAGAACCTCTGTGGTAGTTCCCATAAAGATCATCTGCTTTGCAGGCACACCTACTGTACAGGTAAGAAACTGCAGCCTTTGTGCCAGTGGAGGAAAATACAGTGACCTCAAAGCACTTCAGTGACAACAAATTTAAGGTTCAATCTGCACCACAGAAGGATTCCAGGGAGCTGTGGGAAGGGGTGACTACAGCACAGCATCACCCCCTGCCCCACACAGTGCCTGAGGCTGTGAACCCTTTGCCAACATTTGCCATGACTGAACTGAACCTGACTCCAGGTGACATATGGACAATACTTGCTGTGTTGTAGCAGTGCTTGCCATATGATATGGATGAACTATGGTCAGTTTGCTACCTAAATGTGAATTCAAAAAGGTATAGAAGTAATGAAATTCTTGCTTACATCTAGAACATCTAACATAAAATTCACATTTTTTGTAACTAGCATTCAGTCATTTATGTACTGTCAAAATTATTTTCTGATACTAATGAGACATACCAGTAAGTTTTCTTGGTTTAATTTAGATATATTTTATTGTAGTAGAAGTATTTCTGTGGTACGATTTACTCTGTTTTTTTTATAACAGGTGCAGATGAAAATACACCTCCAAAACACATATTACTTATATTCAATAACCTCCAAATTAGAATAAGAGAATGTTTTACACCTGAGATGCAAGCAAGATGTGCCTCATTAATAAAATACACCATAATGGCTGCATTTGCCTTGTCAACTTTCCTCTTAGCCCTGCTTGAGAATTCTTTTCATGGATTATTAATATCATGGATCATCATGATTCACATCATATCAGAGCACACTAGGAACAAAAATGCATAAAACATATACCCTGCTCTTGCAGTGCTGCTCTGGTTCATCACATCACTAAGGCAGCAGCCCAGGTGCACTGAACTCCATGGTCAAAAATCATTGCAGACCATGGCAGGAAGTGAGTCTCTCTGAAGTTTCAACTTCTGACAAAAATCAAATGTGAAGCAAGAAATAGCATGAAAGTCCAAGAAATGTGTGATGATGTCTCACACAAAGAGCCACATTCCTCTCTACATGCTAGAATAGAATCCACCAAAATTTGTTAGTGTTTTGGGTATTTATTTTGGGGTCAAGAAGCTGCTGTTCCGCAGTCTCTTCCCCAATACCTCCTACAATAGTAACAGCCTAAGACATTATCTGTCTTCTAACAGTGTCATACTTCTGCAGCCCAAACAAGCCATTCCCAGAATACACTGCAGGGAATTACTGCAAAAGCAGAGGAAGGAAAAAGCTGCATATTGTAGGCTTGTTCACAAAGGTCTCTGCCTTCTATTTCAGGTCTGCACATCACTCCTTCTTCCCCAACTAGAGCCATTACTCAGCTGAAGAATGGAATAATGCAACAGTAGCTCCATCTCTTGCTCATCTCCACACAGCCCATTAAATGTGAAGGCAGAAAGCCCAGGCTGTGGCTTTCTTACCACTTCCATGGTGCAGTGCATGAAGTGTGAACACAACTCTGCCATGCTGTTTTCATCTAACACATCAGCACAGCTGATGCCCAAAATTCACACATAAACACCAACTTAATAGCCTAAACCCAGAAAGTCTTTACAAAATGCATAAAATTGCACAGAACTGTAATGAAGAAATTGCATTTGCAGTGACAAGCAAAACCAGGAAATTGATAGCAAGTTATACCTGTGTAAAAGCAGCTCTTCAGACCTGGAGGAGATTCACCTGCCCACTCCATAACCAACAAAGATTCTCTGCACAGGTCACACAGGAGCACAGACAAGTGCTCGGGGGATATGGGGGCCTGATTTTGTTCCTAGGGTTTTCTTAGTCCTCCCATAGTATAACTCTCTCCAAAATGTGCAAGAGGAAGATGTCACCTTGGAAGCCTAAAACGTACATATGGATGAACTAGAAAGGAAAGACTATAGAAGATAGACTTGCCTATCTCCACACTGCAGCAACAGTATTACCTCTATCTTCCCATATATACCACAGAATAAAAGGAAAGACTATAGAAGATAGCCTTGCCTATCTCCACATTGCAGCAACAGTATTATCTCTATCTTCCCATATATACCACAGAATCACTGGAGGGTTTAGCCCCCAAGAAAGTTGGAGAGGGACTTTTTACAAGAGCATGTAGTGACAAAACAAGGGGGAATGGATTCAAACTAAAGGAGAGTAGGTTTATATTAGATACTAGGAAGAAATTCTTTACTGTTAGCATGGGGAGGCACTGGAACAGGTTGCCCAGAGAAGTCGGAGATGCCTCATCCCTGGAGGTGCTCAATGCCAAACTGGATGGAGCTCTGAGCAACCTGGTCGAGTGGAAGGTGTTCCTGCCCATGGTAGGGGAGTTGGAACTAGATGATCTTGAAGGTCCCTTCCAACCCAAACCATTCTATGACTCTAGTATCAAGCAGGGACACCTAGAGCTGGTTAACCAGGATTGTGTCCAGTTGGCTCTTGATCCTCTCCAAGGATGGAGGCATCGACACATCTCTGGGCAACTTGTGCCACTGATCAGTCACCCTCAGAGGTCCCTTCCAAACCATTCTATGACTCTAGTATCAAGCAGGGACACCTAGAGCTGGTTAACCAGGATTGTGTCCAGTTGGCTCTTGATCCTCTCCAAGGATGGAGGCATCGACACATCTCTGGGCAACTTGTGCCACTGATCAGTCACCCTCAGAGTGAATAATTGCTTCCTGATGCTCAGAGGGAACCTCTTGTGTTTCATCAAGCAGGGACACCTAGAGCTGGTTAACCAGGATTGTGTCCAGTTGGCTCTTGATCCTCTCCAAGGATGGAGGCATCGACACATCTCTGGGCAACTTGTGCCACTGATCAGTCACCCTCAGAGTGAATAATTGCTTCCTGATGCTCAGAGGGAACCTCTTGTGTTTCAGGTGCTTCCTGATGCTCAGAGGGAACCTTTTGTGTTTCAGTTTGTGCCTGTTGCCCTGGTCCTGTCACTGGGCACCACTGAGAAGTGTCTGGCTCCACTCTCTTTGCATCCCTCCTTCAGGTATTTACATACATTGATATGATTCCGTGGAGCCTTCTCCAGGCTGAACAGTCTCAGCTCTCTCAGGCTTTCCTGAAAAGAGATGCTCCACTCCTTTCATCATCTTTGTGGCCCTTTGCTGGACTGTCTGGTAGCTCTACATCTCTCTTTACTGGTGAGTACCATTCCTCTGAGTGGGGCAATGTTCCCTCTGAAACCGCAAGTCTAAGTACCCTTTATCAAGAAGAAATTTATTTAGTAATTAAACTATGGAACACTATTTCTCTCTAATTCACGCTGCAGATGAAAAGTAATTTTCTTCTATATCAGGAGGGAGCAGAACAGCTAGCTCTCTACTTAGGGAAGTGTAGCAACTAGGTTGTTTCTCAGTACTTCTGTATAACTCCTGATGTTCCTGCTTAATTGCTACAATACCCAGTGTTTGCTGACGCCCCACACCACACATCTGACCTACTATGTGTGTTCCAGCTTGAACTGTTAACTGCTACAATACCCAGTGTTTGCTGACACCCCACACCACACATCTAACCTACTATGTGTGTTCCAGCTTGAACTTCCCTGGTTCTAAGATTAACACTGCTCCTGATTTGAGAGGATCTGTGCCATGCAAATCAGCTTCTCTTGCTTCAGAAAGAAAGCAGAGAAGAGGAAACAGAGCAATCGCTTTCACAGTACATTAATTTTTCTCACAGTGCAGCAATTCAGTCACAGGGGTTAGGCCCAATTTAGATGTTAAAATAATGACACAAACAAGAGGAAACATATTGAACCAGAAACACCCTTTTAAAGTTTTATGCCTTTGTGTGTGTATGTGCAGAAGTAGTCACTTCCCAAAATGATCTACATTTTCAAGTAGGTGATTACCTTCTGTCACAAAGCCTTCAACAGTGTTTCAGTGTTAGTTAAACACTTCTTGCTCTGGCTTATTAGACAGAAATAACTGAACAATGGCCAACACTTGTCCTAACTAGCATGCAAATTGTCATTCATGTACATAATAGCTAGAGGGTTTCTTAAGCCTTTTCTCATGAAGGCAGATAAAAGGCTGAGTTTGGGTATATTGTGTTATAGAGACATGTTGCTTGCATTTGTTATGTGATTTATATCAAAAGATTGCACCTATGACTGAATTAGAGCTTTCTGATTGACACTGTATTTGTGTGTGAAATTTGCACTCAAACAGCACCACTCTGTGCTTTGCTTTTCTAAAGGAGAGCACCTCTTCAAAGCAATGACATTCCTGTGAGACTGACACACTCCCATGGGTCATCAGAGACCCTTTCACAGCTTTGTGTATTCTACCAAGCTTTGGGATAGGCTTAAGAGAATTATTTGGCCTGAAAAAACATCTTAATGAAGACTTTGGGTAGAAGGTATAGTTTACCTCAAATACGATGGTAACTGGTAACAAGTGTGTAAGTAATGTGTGTAAGTACAGAGGACACGCAATATGGAAGCCAAAAGAATATTGAGATGCCAGAATAAGCAGCATTTCAAAAGCAAAAGGATTCAACCATTTTGACATAATGTGATTAGATACTGGACATAGTCCCTTGCCACAGAAAGTCACTGAGGCTGAGAAAATATTGTTTGTAAGCCAACAAAGCTAATTATTTAGGTTACAATAATTAATGCTATAACTTTGTGCTGGGTATGTATTAATATTTACAACTTGTAAGTCTTATGATATCTTTATTAGTGGGGACTTGCATGATAATTCAAGGTGGGGGGTGTTCAATCTCTAGTCTTCTTACTACATAAGTCACTTACTTTCTGAGCAGCACACGGGCAGACAATACTCTGGGGTTAAGTCTGTTCCCTTTTCTCATCCATTATGGCAGTCCCACGCACTACATTACAGTGTCTTCTTTACTGAGAGACCATGAAATCTCAATGCACAATGCACTAAAAGACATCATTTATTTCATGTTCTTTAACACTTTCTGATTTGAAATAAAGTTCTGAGAGGCCCATTGATTTTGAGATTCCAGAGCCACATCTTACCATAACTTTCTATTTCCCCCACAAAACACAACAAGAAATGCCTATTGTCTTTGACCTCCTACATTACAGTGCTTTCTCTCTGTTTTTTCCTTTACAAGACCCCAGAAGGATTTGTTCCACACTTGTCAGGTATCCACCCCCTTTTACAAACCTCACTAGAAGGTATATTCTGGGCCTGACTTTGCTGCTTTACATGTATATTGGACCACGTTCATGTCCAGTTTTTTGAATGAGTCTGAAATAACACTCCTTTCAGATTTAAATACTTATTTCAGAAGAATAAACTTACCCATCCAGTGAATGAGTCTGAAGTAACACTCCTTTCAGATTTAAATACTTGTTTCAGAAGAATAAACTTACCCATCCAGACTTCCCCAAACTGACCAGCTCCAAGTTTCTTCACTAATTTAATCGATTCCCGTGGAATTTCCCACGCGTCTTTATCCCACGGTTTTTGAGGCTTGGGACTAATACAGGCTTTTTCCAGCTTTCTGCATAAGCCATCTGCTTGCTCTGGTTTTCAAAGGAAAAACAAGATACAAAATCCGTTACACTTCTGTGCCTCACAACTTGACACAAACATGACTTAATTGCAGGTGAGCCCTAAGCAGCCTAAAATAATGTTCAAAAAAATCAGGTACTGTGATAAAAATGTAGACTTTTTGGTGCTTTCACATAACTTTACCAAATTTCAGTTCAGAGGTGGTTATTCAGAGACAAAGTTAAAAAAGATATATCACATGCATCTGGTTACTGTCAGATTATTAAGGAGTTTTAGTACAATTTCTACCAAATAAATACAGCATAAGGCCTGATTACTAACAGTGTGCTGATTGAGATACGCACTGGAGTCAGACTTGGGACCTATATTCTGATTTTGTCATTAAATTTTCTTGCAGCATGATTTCAGACAGATGTGCATGCAAGCATAAGTAGGTCAACATTATTTTTTCTCCAGACACTGACCAGCTATAACTTTAATATAGATGTTGAATAACTCTCAGTTTTTCCAGCTGTGCCAAAGAGCTAGCACACATAAAAACAACCCAGAGAAATTTCATGGCCAAGTCCTCAGAATGGCTTTGAGAAATCACTATGTGATTCCACATCCCGCATTTGTTTTCCTTTTCTGTCTTTTCAGTTAGAAGATTTAACACCCCTCAACACCTCCCCCCCATATTTTGGAGCTATCCACTAGGAGGGTTATACAGAATGAAAAGTCGGTTTTGCAACTAAAACATAGGTAGAAACTTGGGTATCATCCCACCACACCCTCTTTTTTTTAAAATAAATGTCTACATTCTATGTGGGTACAATTTTCTTTCTTTGAAGTCTATGAAATGTTACTTCCTTCAAAATGCCATTGGAAATAAATAATTCAACACATTTTTTGGAAAAATAAAAACAATTCCACACAGCACTAGGCACAGGAAGACATTCACAAGTCTATACATCTATTCTGATAATTGTGAATAAAAAGTTACTCTCAAGTACAGAATTAATTTATTTACAATGCAGGTAATTCTTACTATGGCTTCACATCACCATAACTTTGACGAGGTATTTTATAAGGCTCGTCTTTATTTCATAATGATATGCACAGGGCAAGCAGCATTAGGCCTGATTATGACAACAACATTACTTGGCTTCCAACCAGTTTTACTTTATCTTTGATAACATGCATGCCTGAGTTATTTAGGAAAAAATCCCAAACAACTAAACATGAAAAGGTCTGAAACAAAAGAGGAAAGCATTTATTTTTTTTCACAGGAAATAATGGCTGTATTCTACTAAGCAATTCACTAACTGATTCAACTTACTTTGATAATGTTTGATCATATCATTAATGTTGGGAAAAGTTATTCTTGGAGAGATGTAAAATCCTCCATTGTCTAAACTTCTGATTTTGTAGTGCTTAATAACATCGCCATGCTGTGGGTCATAGTCTCTTATGGACAGAGAATAGCTGCCTGTGGATAAAAAAGTAATGATCATTAACAGATAGCAAAAGTCTACAGTGTATACATATATAGAGTTGAGCCTAACAAAACCACCATTTTGTCTGTTTTTCTTTTTTCTCCCTTATTTCCTCAAAAAGCATTTTGCATTCAACAGGAGGAAGTTGCCCTGAAGTGGTCACCAAAGTGCTTATAGTCACACTTTCTTTTTCAATATTATTCAACAAACTCAGGAGTTCCACATTCCACACAGCTCCACATTCAACACCCAGTGTCATGGAAAGTCCCCCAGCTTGAGTCAAAGCAGCTGGAAAGGCAAGACTGCTCTTCCACTGTCACACTATTCAGGCAGAAGCTGAAATTCAGAGGTCAGCATTTTGAAAAAGGAACATGCTAGTGGTTGTGAGTCAGATGGAAAAAGGATAGTTTGGAGATGGCTTGAGACATACACGAGGGAGAGCTGATCTGTTAGTTCTAAGGAGTCTAATATCATCTGGAATTTAAGCTGGGGCAGAAGAACATCTACCCTTAGCCACAGTGCTCTTTGTTTCTTCTACTTGTACAATTGTCCGTTTTCAAAAGATAAGAAACCATTTCTCCTCACACACAGATCCAGTGACAGTGGGGGTACTTTGCCTTACTCTCAGAAGCCTATGTTGAATTTAGGAGTCTTCCTTTGAGAACTTCATTTAGGAGTCTTCACCTGAGACCACAGAAACAATGATATGGGCCCATTACAGAGCAAAACCTAATCCAGAATCTGCAGTATTAGGACCAAAAAAAGCTACCGTGGCATGGTCAGACATCTGATCTGCTGAAGGGAATCAAGCTTCTTCCCTTAGAGGATGCAGTGCTAGAGTATCCAGATGGAGGATCTAACCAGGCTGCTGTTGGAGTCCTGAGGCTGGGGCAGAACTTCCTACACTTTTCTCAAAGTCCCAGCTGAAGAGCCTGGAGACTTCACTAAGCTCTTCAGTACAAAGAGCTCTGTCTATAGCAGAAAATTTTACCAAAAACCTTTTTGAAAAGAATCACACTACATTGTAGAAGTGCAAACTCTCATTATGCACTAACTACATTTTGCTAATTGTAGCAGTGGGTGCAGACCCAATAATGGAATACCATGGAATGTAGCAGCTCTTATTACAGTGAAGATACTTTCAGTAAAGGAGTCATAAACATTAGGAAGGAAAAATATCTCACTTCATTCAT